TAGTAGAGACGGGGTTTCACCATGTTGACCAGGATGGTCTCGATCTCTTGACCTCGTGATCCACCCGCCTCGGCCTCCCAAAGTGCTGGGATTACAGGCTTGAGCCACCGCGCCCGGCCAGATTCCTTCTTTAGCATGGCTTGCTGCTTCTGTAAATGAACACTATTCCAGGCATGCTCCCCATTTCCAAGCACATCACTTGTGTTTTAACTTCAGCGATTTTCCTTACATCGTGCTCCAAACCTGGACTGCTTTTTCCTTCCTGTTTATCTCTGTCCTGGCTTTCCTTCAGCGAAGCCTCATGTTAGCCGAATGTCCAGCTCTTCTCCACCTCTTCTGCAAGCTCATTTTAGTGTATGTAGAGGTTGGAGCTTCTGTACATCATGTACTTGCATCTCATGGTGTTGAGACAGGGATGGCGTGTAAGTCTCATCTCACATGCCAGTCCTGATTGCTAAGGGTTGCCTTGAGGATCTTGATGAATAAGACAGTGGAGTCATGTCTGAGGTCAGTGTGAAAAACTATGAGGATTAATTAGCTTTTGTGCTGCAGGTATAGGGTGGGGAAGTGGTGGAAGGGGCTGTGTATTATAATCAAGGACATAGTAAATAATCACAGGATCCTTGGTGGTGGTAGATTTCACAGCCTTGAAGGGCAAAGACCTTTTCTTTTGGGTCTTTCCAGGGAGGCTAGCATAGGGTATGGCTTATAATAGATGCTTGTCCTGCTATTAGGCTCACCAGTCTGTTGAATGGGAGCGATAGTGTAGACTGAGCTGAGCATGTGGTTGTTTTCTACTTACTTGGTTACTCAGGTGTTTTTATAGACAGAACAGATTTCCTTCTTGGTTCTGCTTTAGGGATTAATAGCCAAAACATGAGCAGGCCACAAAATGGTTTTATGGCATATGTTCAGGAGTTCTCAGAGATCTCTTGGAACTGAATACTAAATTTTAGCTTCAGAGATGATACAGTTTCTGCTTTGTTGTAAGCACATAATAAAGACCAGTGGAATGCACTTGACTGGAATCTAGGTGTCCTGTGCTAAGTCAGAGGACTCAGCCCAAAGACTCTTGGCATTTGTGAATGGTTTAAATAATAAGAATTGGGGTGGCTGGGCGTGGTGGCTCACGCCTGTAATCCAGGCACTTTGGAGGCCAAGGTGGGCGGATCACCTGAGGTCGGGAGTTCAAGACCAGCCCGACCAACATGGTGAAACTCCGTCTTTAATAAAAAAAAAAAAAACAAAAACTAATACGTATTTGAAGATACTGTTAAATACATTGGCAGGATTAATTATGTAATTTTATAACGGAACACATGCGAAAGATGTTTGTCTTAGCTGCTTTTTGTTTTATTTATTTATTTATTAGATGAAGTCTCTCTCTGTGGCCCAGGCTAGAGTACAGTGGTGCAATCTTGGCTCACTGCAACCTCCACCTCCTGAGTTCAAGTGATTTCTCTTTCTCGGCCTGCCAAGTAGCTGGGATTATTGGCACCCGCCACCATGCTCAGCTAATTTTTGTGTTTTTAGTAGAGACAGGATTTTGCCATATTGGCCAGGCTGGTCTTGAACTCCTGACTTCTAATGATCTGCCTGCCTCAGCCTCCCAAAGTGCTGGGATTACAGGCATGAGCCACTGTATCTGGTGTTTCATTATTTTTTGCATTTGGTTAACTATATTTTTCAACTTTGTAGAAGTCAGAGGGCGAGGAGGGATAAACCATTTAAAAATATTAGTGAAATCTGTTTTCAGAGAACTGTTTTTACCTACCAAGAAAGGCAAATTAAAAAAAAAAAACCACTGAAACCATTATATGAGGTCATGGTTTTGAAGTCATTCACATGTTAGTTTTTACGTGTAAAGAGTGTAATGAAATGACTTATTCAACAGTATATGTATTTAATATCCTTGAATTCTTTTAAGATTTACTCTTTGCTTTTCCACTTACTATACTGCATCCTTACTACCTGACCGTAAGGAACATACAGTTTCCTGGAAGACTCCTCTGAAGATTGTTTCTTAGAAGAATCTGATAAGCATTTAATACAAAATTTTGGGGCACTCAGGGATGGATGAATCAATGGGTTGGTTGATTGATATGATACAGGGTTTTGTGATCAGGCTGGATCACAGTGGCACAGTCATGGCTCACTATAGCCCCAAACTCCTGGGCTCAAGCAGCCACCGCAGGCACTTGAGTGGTTGGGACTATAGGTGTATGCCACCACAGCTGGCTAATTTTTGTATTTTTTGGAGAGATGGGGTTCCACTATGTTGCCCAGGCTGACCTTGAGCTAGGCTCAGGTGTGAGCCACTACGCCTGGCTAGTGATGGATTTATTTATAGTATTATTTATTCATTTAAATTATTTTTAAGTATACATACACCAATACTATTTTATTATAATATATATTAATATGGATTTATTAAAATGGGTTTTGTGGCATTTTTAACTTCAGGAATGCCTGAACTAGATGAATACACCATGGAAAGGGTCCTAGAGGAGTTTGAGCAGCGATGTTATGACAATATGAATCACGCCATAGAGACTGAGGAAGGCCTGGGGATCGAATATGATGAAGATGTTGTCTGTGATGTCTGCCAGTCTCCTGATGGCGAGGACGGCAATGAGATGGTATTCTGTGATAAATGCAACATCTGTGTGCACCAGGTATGTGGGGTAGGGAGGCCAGAAAGAAGAAACCTGGGGCATGAGCCTGTCTGCTGTGGGAGTGTGTGCCTGGAGTCTAGGATTCTTTCTCTCAATGGGGTCCATTTTTCTACGATTTAAAGAAATGTGCCCCATAGACTTTCTTTTTCCCTGATAGGTTCTTATAGTGATTGAACTATATCCTCTGCTTTTGCAACCAGAAGGATGGCATGCATCCACTGTGGAAATTGTCTTTCTTCCCATAGGGTTTTATTCTTATCCACAAAAGTCAAGTTTACTTAAAAAGAATGTATGAGCCCCCTACGTCCTACTGTAACACCTAAGTTTAGGTATTAAGAACACTGAGAAAACAAACCTTTAAAAAGGTGGTTAGTGTGTTGTATTAGTTTTTTTACAGCTGCCCTGTGTAACAAACAAATTACAATAGACTGTGTGTGCTTCAAACAACAAAAAGTATTGTCTTGCCCTTCTGGAGGCTAGAAGTCCAGAGTTGAGGTTATTGGCAGTGCTGGGCTTCTCCGAAACATGCAGAAAAGTCATTCCTTGCCTCTTCATTAGCTTTTGGTGGTTTGCAGCAATCTGGGGCGTTCTTTGGCTTGCAGCTGCCTTCATCATCATGTGCGTTCTCCCTGTGTCTCTGTCTTTTTACATGGTGGTCTTCTTAGAAGGACACCAGTCCTATTGGATTAGAGACCCAATCCTAATTCAGAGTGAGTGAGCTCATCTTAAATAATTAATCTGCAATGACTATCTCCAAAGAAGGTCACATTTTGAGATATTGGGGTTAGGACTTCAGCATGTCTTTTAGTGGACACAATTTGCCTGTCATATTTGTGAGCATGCGTTAGGGTATAAGCTGAGCTGTTAAGGGAGAGTGAAGCAGCCTTTTTTCTTGAAGGTGATTTTCTGTCTTAAAAAACAGGACAGTAGGTTTTGGTGGTTGCTTGCTAAGATCCACTGAAAGGTAAACTCTTAGATTTCAGGAGTATAGGCGTTAGGCAACTTAAAAAGTTTATGACAGTCTCAGTGCCTCTTTTCTTTCTTACTAGTTTTTAATGCAGTAATGAAGAAATTTGGATTTGTGTGGGGACATGTGCCCATGTATATTCTTAGGATTTAAAAGGCTATCTGGAAGTACTTTCTTGGAATTCACCTATTGATGCTGAGATTTAAAGCAAACTTGAAAGACTTGTGTGGAATAGGTGCTTGGTGACTTCTTGGGAAGAAGAAGCATGTTTGCTCCATGAAGTTCTTGATTACCTTGTGCTTCATAATTTGTCACCTCTTAGGCTTTCCCTCTGTGAAGACCTCCCCAGCTGTGGCCCAGTCCTGGCTCCTCTTGACAGGGAGACCCACGACTCCTGCTTCAGTCATGTCATCGCTGTCTGTTGCTCTGGATCTACACTGTCTGGGAAGTCTCCTTACGGTAGTGAGAATTCCTATGGTGGCTTTGTTCTGTGACATGAGCACCCTGATAACTAGTGTTGCTTTTTGGTTGCTGGTGCTTCTTGTATTTACTTGGCTGACTTCTCAGTCTTTTTCCTGTTGTTACTTGCTGTTTTTTTCCTGATGAAAAACTTTTTGAAAAAAAGGGTTCTGCTTGAAAACTCGTCAACCCTCTTTTATCAACAAGTTAAGTGATGTCGGGCAGGGTTGTGCAAGCTGTCACAATGGGCAAGTGGTGGAATTGTATTTTAAGGCTTTTGGATGCCCCCTTCTTTACCTTCTGTTCTTGCTGCCATATCACCTTGTCTCGTTCCCTTAACTTAATTTACTTCATTTTTTCCTTTGAGAAAATCCTTCATGATATATCTTTAAGGCATACTTTATGTAACCTTATAAATTAGCTTAGACCTGCTTTTCCATTAAAAAAAAATTCTCCTTCACATGTGGCTCTAGAATGTCTGATACAGACCTTTAGTATTTTGAAATCTTTATAGTGTCACTTAGCTCTGTTAAAATTTTTTTCTAGTAAGTCCATGTTGACAGTGGCTTATTCATGGCCCCGACACACCGCTCTGGGGCTTTGATCTGAAGTGTGACTTTTCTTCCCTCAACTCTCATCTTTGTGGTTTTCCTTTTTGCATCGTGGGTATTCAGATTACATAGCGGCTGTATTTTTTCTGTCTGAAAAATTAGGGCTCTGCTACTGTGACTCTTGACTTCCTGACTTCCAGGTCATTTAAGGATAAAGTTCTCAACAGTTTGGTTTTTAAAGGGCTCTCTGAACATGCTCCTGTACCATCGTTTTTATTTTTCACTTATTTAACATTAACCTTCTCTGTCTTCGAACTCTCTTAATTACTTTAGTTGTTTAAAAGCCTTAATTTCAGCAGTTTATGTCATCTTGTGTAATTTTGCCATCTTGTGCAAAACAGGCTTTACTTTAAAATTTACATTATTTTTTATCTTCATTTCTAAAAGGCTGGATTCATTTTAACTATCAGTTAAGGAGACTACATTCTCTGAGTAGGTCTCCTTTTTCTGCCCCGTTGTGTTCACCTGGGAGAGTGCTGATATCTAGTTGGCTTGGCGTTTGCTTAGCCTGGGGAGTGCGCATGCTTCTTTCCTGTTCCACTGCCATGTCATTCAGCAGCTTTGGGAGATTCTCTCAACTGCTTTGTGCTTTTTCTCCACACTCTGTATCCCACCTTTGACAGTAAAGCAGAGGAATAGCTTCTCTCACGGAACCCTGTGGCGTGTTTCTGCACTCCACTTACTGCTACTAAACCCATCTATATGAAGTTTCTAAATATTGAGCAGGACTTACTGCTCAGTATTTAGAAACTTCGTATAGATGGGTTTCTGCAGCAACACAGCAAACCAAATTTAGTATAAACCTTTCTGTCCTCAAGTAGTTTCCAGGACCACCCTCTGCTGAATAAATATGTATTGTATCAGCAGAGCTCACACACCTCCTAAGTGCTACTGTGAGGCTGCCTGGCATTTTTCCTGAGGGGAGAGGGTCATAGCCAGGAAGCTGTGGGAGTATCTCTACTTTGGTGGTGGTTCTGTTAAAATCTTTCTAGGTGTTTTTAAATGAATAGATACAATGGGAAAAATAATATTTTCTCTTTCTCTCTATTCCTCGGGGATGTGCTGTGGCATCACAGGCCTGTTATGGAATCCTCAAGGTGCCAGAGGGCAGCTGGCTGTGCCGGACATGTGCCCTGGGGGTTCGGCCAAGATGTCTGCTGTGTCCCAAGAAGGGTGGAGCTATGAAGCCCACCCGTAGTGGAACCAAGTGGGTCCATGTCAGCTGTGCCCTGTGGATCCCTGAGGTAAGTGTGGGTTTTTTTTTTTGTTTGTTTTTACTTTTTTTGAGACAGTGTCTTACTCTGTCACCCAGGCTGGAGTGCAGGGAGCTGGATCATGGCTCACTGCAGCCTTGACCTCCTGGGCTCAAGTGATCCTCCCACCTCAGCCTTTTGAGTAGCTGGTATTATAGGCATGTGTTACCAGGCCTGGCTTATTTTTTATTTTTTGTAGTGAAGAGATCTCACTTTGTTCTTCTGGCTGGTCCCAAACTCTTAGGCTCAAGCAGCCCTCTTTCCTTAGCTTCCCAAAGTGTTGGGATTACAGGCATAAGCCACTGTGCCTGGCCAGGCATGGTTCTTTTTTTTTTGAGGTGGAGTCTCTCTCTGTCGCCCAGGCTGGAGTGCAGTGGTGCGATCTTGGCTCACGGCAACCTCCGCCTCTTGGGTTTAAGCGATTCTCCTGCCTCAGTTTCACGAGTTGGGAATACAGGTGCGTGTCACCACACTCAGCAAATTTTTTTTTGTATTTTTAGTAGAGACAGGGTTTCACCGTGTTAGCCAGGATGGTCTCGATCTCCTGACCTCGTGATCTCCCTCCTTGGGCTCCCAGAGTGCTAGGATTACAGGCGTGAGCCACCATGCCCGGCCACGCATGGTTCTTAATAGCACCTTAGCTCAGAAGGTCCTGGCCTTTAACTGGGATTCAGTGAGTGGGTGGAGAACCATGCATAAATAGGCAGCATTGTAGCTGATGAGTAAAAAGACACCTTTTAATTGCTACCTTTTTCCTTTGGGAAAAACTCAGTCTTAAGCACACTGTCATCTTGTCATGGAATGTAAATTTGTGGAAATGTTAGCGGGAAGCAGTAGTCAGTTGGGACTGGAAGCTGGTAGTGTTCAAACTTTGCCTCACCCATCCATCTCAGCGAGCCTTCCCATCGCAACACCCACTCCCTGGAGCAGACCTGCAGCACTTAACCAGCTGTGGCCTGGGTGTGTCATTCCCCAAGGATCAGCTGTCCATCCTGTGTGTGGCACGGTATACATGAGGTACCACCGTGGTTAAAAAACGATCACTCCTGGTCATGCTTTGGTGATTTTTATTCAAACCTTTATTGTGCCTCAACCTTTTTAATTTCAGGTCTGGTCTAATTTATTTCTAGCCTTAGATCTTGACTAATAAAGTTTGCATAGCTCAGTGTGAGAATATAATTTGTGATTCAAATTCCAGCATTTTTTGGGTGTGATTTTGGTACATTTTCCTTCCAAGGAAAATTATTTGAGGATGATTTGGACTGAGGTTTCATGATTGGGGTCTTGGTAGCACCAGGTCTCGTGGTTTGGTATTGACGGGATACAATTTGGTGATCCAGGCTGAATGCAGAGATGATACCTTATTTATCTTTGTAATTTCTCATCTTGAACGTAGTCATTTTTGGACTGAAGAAAATGGTTTTCTTTGGCGAGAGATTAAAAACAGGTTATATTTACTTACCCTGTTGTTGATACCCTATTTGAATATATTTAAGATGGATTTTTAGTTTTGACCAACTTGTTATGGGCTAGAGATTACATGAGTCTTTGTCGTGAGGCACTTTGGTGAGAAGTGAAAACTCAGTTATCTCTGTTTTTTTTGTTTTTTTTTTACAAACCGGGATGTCTGTCAGATAGGGACTGGGCTCTGGGCTCGATTGTCACTGAGGTGTTCTAAGGCTTTTAAAGTAAGAGTTTGCTTTGTTCTAGGTGAGTGAGTATCCCTCGCCACTGTCTAGTAGGAGGGATGTAGGAAAGTAATGGATCTTTTAGTTTCTAACATTCATGTTCAGCCTCTGATGACCTGTGCCACCCTTTCTTGTTATTTTCCAACCTTTAGGTGAGCATTGGTAGCCCGGAGAAGATGGAGCCCATCACCAAGGTGTCACACATTCCCAGCAGTCGGTGGGCGCTAGTGTGCAGCCTCTGCAATGAGAAGTTTGGGGCCTCTATTCAGGTAATTAGCTTCATAAAAATGGCTTCATTTTCCTTTCCTGCATGGGAGGGAACAGGATGAGGGAAGGGTCTGTGACCTGTCCAAGGGTTTGGAAAGGGGACTATACTAGTTCCAGGAAGCAGAATGAGGTTCCTAAGGGTTGACTTGAGCCCCAGTACGTGCGCACAGCTTTAATTGGCTGACTGTATCCGGTGTAATCAGAACCCAAGCTTTCACAGTCACAGGGTAATTCAGAAGTTCCCCTGAGCTGTGAGGTGGTTCCAGTTTGTTTCTCACTCCCCTCTTTCTGCCCAAAGCATCACAGCTTCTTTCCACAGGCAGACACCTCCTAGGAGTCTTAGTGAGATGTTCCTTGACATGGCATTTTAGAGTTGGCCACCCTCCCACCTGCAGTCACCGAGTATAGCTGCAGATGCTGACTCACCTCTGTGGCTGCCTCCTGAGACTGCAGGTGTCCACGGTGTGCACACACCTGTTAGTAATCAAGGGGACATGCTGGTGTATTTGCATTTGGAAAAACAGAGACTATTTGAGCACCTGGGTAGAGGGGCATCCATGAGGTGCTCCTGTGTATGCTGGCATCTGATTGGACCATAATCTGGATATCTGATTCTTTATGGCACTGCGTACATGAGTGTGTGTATGAAAGAGCACTTGCACATCTGTGTGTAAACATGTTGCCTGTCTGCTTTTGCATGTCCACATTCAGGCAAGTATGGGATGTCATGAGATAGGGAAATTAAGGAGGGAATATAGATGGCATACTATTTTTCATGTGGTATAAAACTCGACCTGAGAAGTTCATTTCTAGGCCTCATGTTATTGATCGACATCAAGACAGTCAGGATTAGAGAGGCCTGCAATGCTGTGTGTGGCTGATGGGGGCCCTTCAGGTTAAGTTTGGATCTTTTGGGATGTACCAGCACAGGCCCCAGGCTGTTCTTTGGTTTCCTCATTGAATTCTGGGAGCAGAGGCACTGTTTTGGAATGGCCTCTCTCTGAATACAGAAAAAACCAGCAGCTCAGCAAAGATATAAGCTCCAAGAGCGTAGTCATACTGTCAGCTATGGGTTTTAAAGAAATGACCTCATTTGGCAAAGTCAGTTTGTATTTTGGCTGATAAATACTTCTTTCAGTAAGGCGGTCTTAAAATTTTTTCATTTTTTGACAAGCCCAGTGGCTCTGTTTTCTTCTTTATCACTTCGACTGGTGTTCAAGAATCCAAAGTATAAGAGAAATACTTGGAGGGTGGGTCATGAGACAGCTGGTGGGATTTGGCTGGGGACCTTGGAAATAGTGGAGATATTTTTGGCATTTGAATACATAACAAACACCTCTGCCCAAGAGTTGGATCGGGGAAGGAGAGTGGAGCCGGAAGAGAAAAGGGGGAGAGCCGATATACTTGTGTGTGAGTATGCATGTGAGCGTGTGTGTGCGGATGAGTATGCATGTGATTATGCATGTGTATGTGTGAGTCTGCATGTATGTATGTGTATTTGTGTGGTTATGCGCGTGAGTATGCATGTATGCATATTTATGTGTGTGAATGTATGCATGAGTGTGCATGTATGTGAGTATGCACGTGAGTGTATGTGTGTATGAGTATGTGTGTGAGTGCATGTGAGTATGCATTTGAGTTTGCGAGTATGTATGTGTATTTGTGTGAATATGCATGTGAGTATGGCGTGTGTATGTGTTAGTATATGCGTGGGAGTATGCATATGCACGTGTGCACTGGCAGGAAACAGGCTGCAGCAGACCATGCTCCCCGGTGTTCTGAGCGTAGAATTTATGCCCTTTCCTGAGTGTGCCAATCCCTGTCCGTAATTAATGTTTAAAAGAGGTAGGCAAATGGGATCTTTGTTTACCTTTTGAAGAGAGATGATATAATGACTTTTTTGTTGCCATTGACCTCTTTTTCCCAGAACATTAATCTAAAGAAGAGGCCAAAGAAGGCTGACGATTTTTCATATCTTCACAGAATGGATTGATTTTATTAAAAGAATTCCTCTCTGAAATGTCTGCAGCTGTGAAGGCTTCTGGTTTACGTTTCTGTAACATCTGTTTGCTGAGTCAACCTGAATGGGAAAACCCAGAGGAAGGCCATTTGGCGTTTTTACAAAGTCCTGTATAAATATTCTGCTGCAATTCATTTCTCTTTAGGGTTAGAGCGCTTGGGTTAAGTATAGTTTAAGCCAAACAGATAGTGTCTCAGTCATCTGTTCCCACTTTTACTTCCCACTTGGCTGTGTGCTACAAGGGAGGACACTTTATCTACTTATGACAGTGGCCAGGTTTCGTGTGTGTGTGTGTGTGTGTGTGTGTGTTTCTGCCACCAAAGCTGGTTTCACACATTTCTTGGAATTGAGGTTATTTATAGAGAAAATACAGATTTATGTCAGTCTTGTGGTTAGTTATTTATAAGGGTGGAATGGTGAAGGGAGCTGGATTTTCTCTTCTTAATAAAAGAGACCTCATGGTAACGGAAGAAAGCCTGGCTGGCAGCGAGTCTCCTCCTAAGTACTGAAGTGTTTAGGGGGAAAAGCCTCAGCTCTACTGTCTGCTATCTGTGGTGATATGATTCAGGATCTGTTGAATGAGTTTAATTAAACTTCTCAGTTGGCTTGGAGCCACTGGATTCTACAACTTCGTGCAGCCCTGGAATGCCCTTGGGATCACTTGGCCTCACACAATGCAGTACTGCTTTGAAGGGACTGGCTTCAGTCACTATGGGGAACCACCTTTTAGGGATTTGCTCAGCAAGATCAGTTAGGGAGGAGTTAATCACTTTGTTCCTGCTAGGCCAGAGGCTTGCTGTCTGGATCAAAGGCACAAAACTGTGGCCCTGATTAGGCAGTGAGAGGGGAGGTAGTCTGTATAGGTTGCCTCTAGGTTGATCTCCCTGTGACCCATTGGAAGGTCTCACAGTTCTACTGCCTCTTTTCAGTGGCCAGGAGCAGTGTGCACAGATCTTAGGGCTTAGAGTCATCCGTGCATCTGGTGAAGCTTCTTCACAAGTGTGAAGACCTTTTCCCACTTTCCCTGTGCTGGATTCCTCTTGTCTCCTATTTTTGGGGTTTTTATTCAGTTTCCCTTGGTGCTCCTTTAAGGAAGTGTACTGTTTATTTTCTCACTTGTGTTGGGACTCTTCTTGGCTGGGAAGTCAGAATGAGGATTTATATTCAAACTATGAGTCGTAGTCATTCTTCCCAGGGAGATTCTTACTCAAGTTTACACCAGAAGAGCTCAAATCTGTAAGAAAACTCAAACTAATGCCTGAAAGTGGACTTTGCATATTGAGTACAGATTCTTTTGAATATGATCCTAGTGCCACACTTCCTTCCTCTACACATGTCATTTGTATATTCATGGCTGCTTCAAGATGGGATTTGGATGCAGTTTCTTTTCTGAGGAAGTTAGGGTTTGGTTGATTAAAACCTTTCATCTGAAGAGTGCCCTTAAATTTGAAGACTAGGCTGGGTGTGGTGGCTCACGCCTGTAATCCCAGCACTTTGGGAGGCCGAGACAGGCGGATCTCTTGCCCAAGAGTTGGAGACCAGCCTGGGCAACATAGGGAGACCCAGTCTCTACAAAAAATTCCGAAGCCTTACCTCTTAAAAACATGACATGATCATCCAGGGTTAATCCATGTACAACTTCCTGTCACAGCACATGCTTGAAGCATGGCTCTTCTCTGTGCATGTGTACATGGGGTGCCTAGCACTGTGGGCCTTCTGCCATGGTTGCTCTATAATGGTCTATTCTATGTTCTTTGTGTGTTCTTACCAGTGCTCTGTGAAGAACTGCCGCACGGCCTTCCATGTGACCTGTGCTTTTGAACGGGGCCTGGAGATGAAGACCATCTTAGCAGAGAATGATGAAGTCAAGTTCAAGTCCTATTGCCCAAAGCACAGCTCACACAAGAAACCCGAGGAGAGTCTTGGCAAGGGAGCTGCACAGGAGAATGGGGCCCCTGAGTGTTCCCCCCGTAATCCCCTGGAGCCCTTTGCCAGCCTTGAGCAAAACCGGGAAGAGGCTCACCGGGTGAGTGTCCGTAAGCAGAAGCTGCAGCAGCTGGAGGATGAGTTCTACACTTTTGTCAACTTGCTGGATGTTGCCAGGGCTCTGCGGCTGCCCGAGGAAGTAGTGGATTTCCTGTACCAGTACTGGAAGCTGAAGAGGAAGGTCAACTTCAACAAGCCCCTGATCACCCCAAAGAAAGACGAAGAGGACAATCTAGCCAAGCGGGAGCAGGATGTCTTGTTTAGGAGGCTGCAGCTGTTCACGCATCTGCGGCAGGACCTGGAGAGGGTAATGATTGACACTGACACCTTATAGTGACTTAGAGAAGAAGATGCAAAGAGGCAAACGCTCGCCCAGAGCAAGAAATGATAGCCAGTCATATACTTTCAGACCCTTGTACACACCACAGCATGAGGTTGTGTTGGTTAAAAATATTTATGGGCTGGTAAACTCACTGTACATATGTGCAAAACTGCCACTGAGTGGGGAGCTTCTTTGTGATTTTCTTTTTTTAAAACACTTTCCCATTAATCTTTACTGTTTCGTAAGGTCAGAGGAGGTGTGTCTTCCCCACCCCTACTCCATTCTAGATCTAGAGTGAACTAAGCCCCAGGAAAATGACCCAAGGAGTTGACTCATGATTGTTTACAGACTGATTTAGAAAACCAGAACGGATTTAATTTATAATGGAGGGGGCCAGAGATAGGAAAATTTCTAGTTCATTCCAGGGAAACTCTAGGTGCCAGTGCTGGGCTTAAGAAGGAGAGCCAAGCACGGCTGCTCACTGGCCCCTGCTTTGTTTCTTGGGTCATTCATAGGGGCATTCCCAGTACTGTCACGGAGCAAAGCAGGCAGTGGGTGCCGATGTGTGTGCATGAGCTGTATGTACACATGCATATGTGTTACAGAAGATACTCCTGGCAGTGAGGTGCTAGGTTATCACTGAGGTTGTGAGTGTGTATGTATGTGTCCCGTGTCCATCCATGTCTCTGTTGTGTGTCTGTGTGTGAGTGTGGGTGGGATTCCTGGCACACAGGAGTGTCAGATCTGTCTGAGGAGCCCCAGTCATGCTCAGCACGCTACAGATGTGTTGTGTTGTCACACTGAGATTGAGGAATGTCGTGGCTGTTGGCTGCTTAGCCTCAGCTGCTGGCACTTCCTTCCGCTGTTTGCTGCTTTTGTGCCTCCCCCACTTTCCATCACCTCTGGAGTCCCAGCTGGAGTTCCCTTCCTGCTACAGGAATAATGAGGAGTGGGCTGCCTCCCCCCTGGGTCTCCTGTTCCCTGTAGGTAGTTTCTGGCTGAGGCTTGCTAATTGGGGATGCTCTTGGAGTATCTTCCACATCAACTCTCCTGGCTGCTGGCTACTGATTAAATTCATTAGTGTGAAAGAGATGGGAGCGAGGGTTTCTGGCCTGAAGCAGCCTGCACTGAAAGGTACCCAAGTGGCCTGAAACAGTTAACACATCTCCCCCAAGCTGCTCACTTATTAGTGGGGAGTGATTACCCTGCCTGGGAGAGATCTGACTCGTAGATGATTTGAAATGGGAGTGCGGGCAAAGAGCAGGGATAGACTCGGAAAGTACTGGACCAAAAAAGCCCGATCTCAAGGAGACCTGCATGGCCCTGTTAGAGATGATGTAGACGTGAAAGTCTTTTAAAGTGAGCATTAGAGCTCCTTTTAGTACGTGACTGAGTGCCAGCGTATTTGTGATGCCCCTTCCCAGACCAGGTTAGGATTCCTGGGAAGGCCACGGATTCGAGCCCTGGAGGAGGCAGGAGCCTGGAGCAGGTTTGTGAGGCTTTTGTGCTCCCATACGCCCCCTGGTGGTGAGTGTAAGTAAGACTTTGCCTCTCACAAACACATGTATGTGTGGCATTTTTGTTAGAGATGAGAAAAAGATTGAGAAGGATAAACTGGGATCCTGGTGAGGAGCCTTTATGCCAGCCTGACACCTGCTGTAATGGGGTGCATGAGCTATGGAGTCAGATAGTTGTTGGGAGGGGAGGACAAGAAGTCTGTTGTTTGGACTGTGTTTGTCTCACAATCACCACAAAATAAAAGTGTAGAAAATGCTTGTGGTGTACTAACTCTTTTCTGTACTTAAGTTACTCAGATTAACATGCACTTCTAAATCTAAACATTTTTTTGGAGTCATCACTGTCACTGTTTAAGTAGAACAATGCCAATGATGTATGAGAAACAGGGAATAAATCAGGATTTGTATGTGTGTGTGTGTGGCATTACTTACATTCACTTTATTAAAAAGCCTAAGGAACTTCAGGGAATTTGGATTCAGTTTATTTTTTTGAGATGGAGTTCTGCTTTGTTGCCCAGGCTGGAGTGCAGTGGTGATCTCCGCTCATTGCAGCCTCCGCCTCCCGGGTTCAGGTGATTCTCCTGCCTCAGCCTCATGAGTAGCGGGGACTACAGGTGTATGCCACCATGCCTGGCTAATTTTTGTATTTTTAGTAAATACAGGGTTTCACCATGTTGGTCAGGCTGGTCTTGAACTCCTGGCCTCAAGTGATCCACCTGCCTTGGCTTCCCAGAGTGTTGGGATTACAGGCAGGAGCCACTGCACCTATCCTTAGACTCAGTTTGAAATTGGCCAATTGTAATGAAAAAAACAAAATGTGCTAGCCCAAATTTGCCATGATGCCTGTGTTGGTGGAGGCATTAAAAAATTGAAATCTTTGCCATGCTCAGAGAGTTGCACAGTTATTTGTAATTATAAACAGTAAGTGTATCAGGGCAGGGGTGACAATAAAAAAAAATTACTACCAACTTTTTTCTCAAGTAAGTTAGTTTTCTGTTTATTTCACACAATATCAGTTTATAGCAAATCCTCAAAAATCACTTAATACATGTGACTACAATCAAGGCATATGATCATTCCGAGACTGACAAATGAATAGCCATCATTAGAAAGCTGAGACAACTGAGTGATTATAGTGACCGCACTTTCCTACAAACACACACCTCAGGGCATTGCACAGTGGGCACCAGTTCTGGATCTGGAAGTTGGGTGACAGGAGTAGATTCAGGAGGGCTTGGGAGTCCACAACTTTAAGAAGACACAGTTGCTGATGTGGGTAACCATGTCAAATTCCCAAGGCTGCTGCTTCACTCTCATTCCTTTTCCCTAAAAGATGCAGTAAACGTGAGTTCAGCAAATGAGGACTTACTCAGATAAAGACATGCTACCTCTGCACTCTGGCTAGTGTTACAGAAAGTGGTCAAGTCCTGGGGGACAGTTGTCTAGTCGCTCAGTGGAACGGTCACCTTTGAAAATCGGGTAGTGGCTACAGTGTCCCCCAAACAAAAGGCGTGTTCAACTTCAGTGTTGCAAACAGTTTTGGATTCAAGAAAACACTGAAACCACTTTTTGATTTCTTAAGAGCAGTGGTCCTTAGGGTGTTTCCCTGACCCGGAAACAGGAATGCAAATTCATGGACCCCACCTCCAAAGGGTGATTCTGTTTTGTGGGTACCCACATTTCTGTTTGGGAACTCTGCTTTAGGGGAAAGTGATGATCAGGTTTAAGGTGGTATGAGAGTGCACCTGGAGATGGTTTAAGTGTTTTTTTCAGATACCTCCTTGAAGACAGTTGGGAGAAGATAAAGCCGGGGAGGGAGCATGGTGGAGCTGGTGCAGGAAGGGACAAGCTGGATGTGTTTTGAGGATGGGAGAGCGTCAGTCCAGCTCTGCAGGTGGAGGTGGCTGAGAGTTGTCCTGTAGGGAGCTTTATGCATAAGAGAGTCAGGTTTAGTTAGAGTCCTCACTACTCTAAAGTGTAGTTAGTCTAGATAGTCGGGGTCTGCTTTGTTCTGATTGAAAACCATGGTCTTTGTGTTTTGGGTTTACATTAGATATTTTCCATCAGATCATGAGGAATAGGAGTGGGATTTTTCTACTTAGCAGCCATAGTGTGGTCAAAGCTACCAAAATTAAATTTGAATAGTATACAAAGTTAAAATTCCCTGGCTTCCTTATTTTCTATTTTCAAGGATAATTTCAAGTAAGGGAGATGCAAGTATCTCT